CACTTTCTGGGAAAGTAATATAGGTTCTAAACAAGTCTGAATTGGTCCCCACTTTGTAGAATTTTCTTACATATAAGCAGTTTGGCTTTCGCTCCTCTAGGTCAACTATCGATGTATTGTTGGAAAGACACTATCAAGCTGAACGAATGTTTGATCTGATTCAATCTTTCTTATCAAATCATGAAATGAACCTTGTCTTGAACAGCAACTTTTCTAGATCTTTTTTTTCGGACTTATACAGATTTTCCTCCATTACTTGATCCTTGGATTTACATTCTTCTTAATTTTTATTAACGGCATTTCTCTAATATAATCAGTTCTCAATTTGGTATCTATGCCGATGACACAGTTATTTTAATCGGTTTATCTGGATCGATTGACAGATGAGCTCAAAAATGACCAGCAATCAGTTGTTAACTGGGGCAAGTGACGCCTTCTTAATTTTAACGTCTCCATAACGAAACTGATCTCTTTTAATCGTCTGAAAGAATCTTTTTCCTGTTTCCATCAGCCATTTAAATCATTCTGATCTTATTTTAGGCTGAAACTGTTAGTATTTATTTGTTATATGAATATTTCCTGAGCATTTTAGAAAACATTTCTTCATTGACAGGTATTTTATTGAGTATACGTTGAATAGAATAACAAAATCGGGCATTGTGAACTTTATTGAAATTGACTGAACGGCACCCTCAACATTTTGATAAACTATGTTAAATTAACAAAAGAGAGATTAAAATTTTAATTCAGGCCATTAATTCTTGGATACTGGTTTGGAAGTAATTAATTAATTAATAAGCTCATAAATCTGTAATCTATTCATGATGAAAACGTATTTTATTTAATCATTTTATATTTTAAACTCAATATGAAGACAAAAGAAAGGAACATAAAAATGTATGAAACGACTGAAACGATTTCATCTTTGTAGGAAATAAATGCTTTTAAATTTTAATTATGCCATTGATGATATCTGGTTACAAAACTGCTAAAAATGCTAATTCTGTGTTGCCAAAAATCTGTGTTATCAAATGTCTTTGAATTTAAAGTACTAAATTTGCAATATATGCTTAAAAAATGCTCAAATCTTTTCCATCTAAAGAAACCAAGTGGGATGCAATTATGAATTTCCAAATTTAGTTTAAGATTAACTGACTATTATGATAAAATTACCATATAAAAAGTATGTGAATATAATCTTCTATTAGGTGTACGGTAAAGTCCGTAAAACGCTTGTTTCTCTAATATATTGGGAGTTACAATTTTGGTAATTTATTTTATAAATGGCTGCTTCAGAAATATTATTGCTATTAGTGTTTGAGGATGTGATTATATCCATAATTGGTTTCGTAGTGTTTGATTATTTAAGATTATTTAGATGGGATACGTTGTTCTGGATAGTCGACGTGACAGAGTTGGTCGGGCCATGCTGCTAATAATGAAATATAATAGAGAAACTAAGAAGAACATTGATGAGGAGAAAGGACAATAAAGTATCATTCCAAATGACAGAAGATGACGATTAATCTTGCATTTAGGTTTTACTTGATCAGTCGCATGCGTAGGCGATCATGGGGGGGAGAAGAAGAGGATTCATACTTTTCCTAAGAGTATTAGCACGTAAGTGTATATCAGTCAGTTATGTGCCATGCGTGATACACGCTTAGGCGATCATGTATCTTTTGATACATGACTGACGAGGCAGATTTTTCCCGCAGTACGTTGCCATTTTATCAACAGCAGACCAGTTGCCATCCCAGGCTATAGAACCCGGTCTGTCTTGCTATTTACCCATAGCTGGGGGTGACAGAAGAAGAGGATTCATACTTTTCCTAAGAGTATTAGCACGTAAGTGAATATCAGTCAGTTATGTGCCATGCGTGATACACGCTTAGGCGATCATGTATCTTTCGATACATGACTGACGATGCAGATTTTTCTAGCAGTATGTTGCCATTTCTTTCTGCGGTAGACCAGTTGATACCCAAGGCTATAGAACTATGTCTGTCCTGCTATTTACTTATAGCTGCAGGGAGAAGAAGAGGATTCATACCTTTCTCAAGGGCAATAGCACGTAAGTGAATGTAATGGATTCGACTAAAATTCGAACTCGGCTCCTCGATTCCTCAATCCGAGCCACTATCCAATGCTTCACCGTATCTTCTTTTACTTGATAGTAAATCAAATTGCTGGAAGAGGGTTCTGCAGGCGAGAATTGCGAGAGAGGAAACTATTTGAATAGAACTTGCCGTTGCATTAAGTCATTTCAGCAGCAAAATAATAAGATTAACCCGACAATCTTGTGCTAAGCTTGAATTCATCGTAGATTTTTGATAATAACAGTAATAATAAGTTGGAATAAAACTAGTAAGAAGACAATAGTAATAATGACGAGTCTATCAAACAAGAGTATGGAATCAATAAAGTATCATTAAAATTAGATATAAAACTAGTAATCGCCCCCGAAAAGCTCGTGCCCATCGATCGTGCATAGGTGTATGAAAAATGTTGCCCCCGTATTCTGGGTTGAAATGAATGGTGTTTCACTCGCTGCTGGCCAAGACTCGAATGGTGATGCGGACGACACGACAGAAGCAAGTCTTGCGAGGCAACCGTCTTGCGAGGCAACCGTATTTCTCATCAGGATCAGATACGATTCTTTGAGCATCAGATCACGATGAAGATTAGAACTGATAGAAAACAGTTAGTCAAGATAGACTTTAGCAAAATGTGGGTGACTGTGGCGAGTTTGGTTCGTGTGAATGGGGCTAGCCTTGATTTTCTTTTTTAGGTCAACCTAATTCAAATCGGGCTGGTTTCCCGTAGAGGCCTCGCCTGGTTAGTCTATACAAGCTTTTTGTAACTAGTTAATGTGAGTAAGTGTTGTTCCGGGCCTGCTGGTGGCTGCATATTTGGTTATGATCCAAGACGAGATACCCAACTTCCCCAGTTTGTTTTTGGCCTCCTTTCATCTCGACTGGGTCACCTTTGTTTATTTCCATATCCGTATATATTTTCACCTTTTCCTCTCCCTTAGCTAGAGAGCCTCTTGATTCTATCTTAGGGCAGAATACAGCGGCCTCTCCTTTTTGAGTATTGGACGGGACCTACAATCTGTGAATCATCAGATTTTTATGTATAAATTTTTATGTCACGGGGTGCGTTTTTTGAGGTTCCCTGAGTGTATTATCGTATATGGAAGATCGATTGGTGACGAATGAGTTCTTGTGGTAAACGTGCGTATTGTAATGAATGCATGGCTCGTGAATCAATGAAGACCCGCCTCAATCAAATTCCCCTTTTGGCCTTGTGTCCCAATTATGTACTCGTACGAAATAAATTTAGATTAAGTATCTGATGTGGACCCAAATTTGGGACCGCGGAAGGAAAACACGGAACACGGATTAGAAATAAAAAAGATATATTAAACAAAAAGTTTACAAAGATAGTATAAGTGTAAGCGGAACTTACTATGTGCTAGTGTCCAATATTGGTAGTTGTATGCGGCTGATACTACGGGATTAGAATATACTCTCTCTCTCTCTCTCTCTCTCTCTCTCTCTTTCCTCCTCTTCTCTTAGAGTGTTTATATAGTCCTGGAAGAGTCCATGTTGTAGGTCTCACAACAGTATCATAGTGTGATGTCATAATAAGCAACAATAATAAGATATATTTACCAACGTCCCCACGAGGTAAGATGTGGTACAAGGCGGGGTTTTAAAGTGGGGAAATCCGAGACCCTAGGCTCGGCCAAAAATTTCCGTATGAAACGTAGCTCTTTCCCGAGACGAGACTCTGCCGTTCGACATACCCTTGTCTGGGGATCCTCTCTGCCCGCAGGTAGAGAGTCTGACCAGCACAGTTGGAAAAGATTACAGCTGGACTCCGATCCAACCCCGGAAACCAGAGTAAGATGATGTAAAACAAAGAATGATCCCATAAAATAAAGAGAAATGACATAAAAAGAAGTGGAAAGAGCACAGAGTCTACGATTTAATACTGATAAATACAGTAATTGTGGCACAAGGCAAAAAAAACAGGGGGATATAGGTCAAGGCTTGTCGACACTATCTTATACCTAGCTAATCATATTCACGACCAATTTATTCGTTACAATTTATTCATTCACTATAAGAATCTATCCGTCCCCATTCGCTCCTACATACATCAAAATTCCTTAGACAGAGGCCCCCTACTCAAAAACACTGCATGATTTAAAATTACAATATATAAAATTGTATAAAAATTCTATGAGCGTTAGGTAATGATGGCGGGTCGACCCGAAAACAACATGAAAAAAGAAAGAGTTTAGCAAGACAAGTCCACCCATCAAAAATAAGAGTTGCAGCAGAAAGCCCACAGTCTGACGGGAACGACAGCTCTGAACAAGGCCTTTATACTCAAACCTTCAGTCACGACAACCCGTGTTTTGGTGTTAGCACAGCCTTCAACGGTTTCTGAAGCTTTCTGCAAAGCCATTTTCACTCCCAGCTCTTAGATCAAGCCATAGATACTTCCTCACGGTGCTGCGCACTGGGATCTTCTCTCTAGACCGTTATTCCTAAGATGTCACCTACTATTATAAATCGAACATGTCTAACCGGAGGCATATGGTCGGAACACTTAAGTTCTAACCACTGAGCCACATACTCATTTTGCCTTCATACTTTTGGGTCAACGGACCCAAAATATATAAGTGAAATCCCTTAACCTTTCAACTTATGACCGCCTAGACAAATAGCCACGAAGTTTCACAAGGAAATCTCATTGAATTATCGACGCATTACCGCTACTGGTGAGTGGTCCATCCTTCCCATATTAAACCAAAAGAAAACAACTAAAAACGAAAGGTAAATACTTAATGTTCCTGAATGTAGTGAATATTCTTTGTCCAGTGTCCAGTTTGTGTTTCTTTGTACAGTTTGACCAGTGACTGTTGCGTCTATTGCAAGTAAATGGTCGAAAAGCAGTTCCTATTTGGAGAAGTCCGGTACGACACAATGCCAGAGTCATTAAGGTTCATATTGTCGAAATTTCGCGTTGTTCATACTTTTTTTTTCTTTCTACTTTTTGTCTTTTTAAGAGCGGTAAACGTTACGATATTTGAGACAATATCGGACGAAATCCATTAGCTTCGTTGAGTAAGAATGTTTGATTTCTTCCTTTCTCGTTCTTATCAGTTCAATAATTCTTTCTTTCTTTCTCCAATTATTTATTTCTCTTTTTATTTATTTTTCTTCTTTCTCTCTTTCTTTCTTTATTTCATTCTTACTTTCTTTATTTTTCGTGTTCCTTCTGTCAAATTGTTTTTCTTTTTCTTTTTTCATTCATTCCTTTGGACTTCTTCCAAGTGACGTTCTTATTTACCGTTTTCTTTTCTTTTTTTTTCTTTCAAAGGTTTTTCGTTCGTTCGTTCCAGATTTCTTTTTTTTTTTCCATTTTTTTTCTTTGCTTTTCTTTTTCATTTTCATTCGTACATATTCACTGTGACGTGACGTTCTTTCATACCAGATTCCCTTCTTTTATTGCTCATACATTTTTTCCCTTTCTTTTCTGTGTTTTTTTCTTCTTTTTGTCTTTCTTTGTTTATTTCGTTCTTTCTCGCTTTTTTTTTCTGTAGTTCTTTTAATTATTCTTTCCAATTATCGTAGCGGAGAAAAAACTATAAAAGGAATTTGACATATTAACCAATAATAATAATCATAAATGGAGAATAATAATAATAATAATAATAACGTAGACAAAACCCGTACCCATCAGTGGCTACGTAGTGCAGGGTTGAAAGCGGAAACTGAAGGTTTTATCCTTGCTGCGCAGGACCAATGCTTGCTAACTAGGAATTATCAAGCACATATACTAAAATATTGTGTCAGCCCAAAATGCAGATTCTGTGATAAATATCCAGAAACGATTGATCATCTTGTAGCAGGTTGTACGGTGTTGGCACCCACTGACTATAAAACCCGACATGACAGAGTGGGCCAATATCTGCACTGGAAAATCTGCAACTTCTACGGGAAGAAAACTGAAAGAAACTGGTATGAACACCACCCAGACCCGGTTACGGAGATAGGACCTGTTACAATTCTATGGGACTACACAATACACACTGACAGAACAATCAAGGCCAACCGCCCAGATATTGTTATTAAAGACCACAAACAAAATCGTGGCCTCCTTATTGTTATGGCAGTCCCTGCCGACTGCAATGTATCTTTGAAGATATTCAAAAAGTTGTCAAAGTACAAGGACCTTGAAATAGAAATCTCGAAAATGTGGCATATGGGAACATCAACAATCCCTGTTGTAGTTGGAGCCCTAGGACTGGTTGGAAAAGATTCCAGTAGACTAATTGAAGGGATTCCTGGAAGTCCATGCCTCAAGGAGATACAGAAAATTGTTCTGACAAGTACAGCCCACACCTTAGGAAGGGCTTTATCTATGTAATCATTTTTTTTTTTTTTTTGTCAGTGGAAAGTGTCATGACGCCATTTCTAACCTTAAGGTCCCTGGGCGGGACCCGGAAAGAAATGTGTAAACGCCAGAAATCAAAGAAAATAAAAAGAATAATAATAATAATAATAATAATAATAATAATAAGAAGAAGAAGAAGAAGAAGAAGAAGAAAAAAAAAAAGTACATTTACTATATATTTCTTTTACTTTTTTTGATGCATGAGAATCATTTTCTCTGCATCTTCAACGGCGGATTCATTGATCGGCTAGTCTTTTTTTATGGCTTATCAACCCTTTGTGGGTTGCTTAAAAGAAAAGATTTTGAATTTAATATTTTTTGTTTGTTTTTTGCGAGTGAATATTTCATTATCACTTTTACGGAGATAACAATTATTCTTCACCGTAAATATATCATTATTTAAGCCATAGCTGGGAGGAGAAGAGGTGGAGACATATCTTTCTCAAGGATATTTAATCATAAATGAACATAATGATCTCGACTGGAATTCGGACTCTGATCTCCGATTTGTCACTAAGAAACGCTGTCCATTAGACCTCTCGACGGTGGATGGCATGATTATACATACATATATATATATATATATATATATATATATATATATATATACCCAAGTATATAATTGGTGTATACGGAATGAATTTAATAACCAACAATTACTATTCTTAAAAGAGTTCTCAATACAAAGTAGAGCAGATATAATTATTTATTTAAAAAAATTCAAAACATAAATATGTTATAAAATCACTACAAAAATAGCCATTTTTTTTTCAACACCCCGGTGCTTTTTCAAGTGATGATATTGAATGTAAAATAAATCTATTTATTTTACATTGAAATCTATTTATTTTACATTCAACATTATCACTTGATAAACACCGGAGGTGTTGAAATAAAATGGCTATTTTTGTATTGATTTTATAACATATTTATGTTATAATTTTTTTAAAATAAATAATTATATATATATATATATATATAAATATGTGTGTGTGTGTGTGTGTGTGTGTGTGTGTGTGTGTGTATAAAGGTAAAAGACAATAGGAAAACTGTATTATTAGCCGACGCGTTTCGTCCAATTTATTGTGGTCTTGACGGATTCAACCATTTTTTCTACGTTCTTGTGGGAGAAGTCATTTTGTTAGGAAAGTTGATATTGGTGGGGGGACTCGGCGTCGATTAATATTTGGATAATAATCAACGGCAGCACTCTCGAAGATATTCACTCTACTAAAATTAAGTGGAATTATTAGGGTTTATATTAGAGAGCATTAAGAATCTGCAGCCCCAAATATTTACGTAAAGAAGAAACATACATAGAAAATACATTGAAAAACTTACAATACCCATATCATTTCATCCACAACGCAAGAAGAAAGGCATACAAATCATGCAACAGAAAATAAAAATAATAACATAGTCCACAATAATAAATTACGTGAAAACAAATACTACTGACCAACTCTGTCACGTCGGCTATCCAGAACAACGTATCCCAGCTAAGTAATCTTAAATAATCAAACACTTCGGAAACAATTATGGATATAATCATTTCCTCAAACTCTAATAGGAATAATATTTATGAAGCAGCCATTTATAAAATAAATTACCAAATTTGTCACTCCCAATATATTAGAGAAACAAACGCTTTACGGATTTTATCCTACTTCCTAATAGAAGATTATATCCACAAACTTTTTATATGGTAATTTGATCATAATAGTCAGTTAATCTTAAACTAAATTTGGAAATTCATAATTGCATCCCACTTGGTTTCTTTAGATGGAAAAGATTTGAGCATTTTTTAAGCATATATTGCAAATTTAGTACTTTAAATTCAAAGACATTTGATAACACAGATTTTTAGCAACACAGAATTAGCATTTTATCAATTTTGTAACCAGATATCATCAATGGCATAATTAAAATTTAAAAGCATTTATTTCCTACAAAGATGAAATTGTTTCAGTCGCTTCATACATTTTTATGTTCCTTTCTTTTGTCTTCATATTGAGTTTAAAATATAAAATGATTAAATAACATACGTTTTCATCATGAATAGATTATAGATTTATGAGCCTATTAATTAATTAATTACCTCCAAAGCAGTATCCAAGAATTAATGGCCTGAATTAAAATTTTAATCTCTCTTTTGTTAATTTAACATAGTTTATCAAAATGTTGAGGGTGCCGTTCAGTCAATTTCCATAAAGTTCACAATGCCTGATTTTGTTATTCAATTCAACGTATACTCAATAAAATGTCTGTCAATGAAGAAATGTTTTCTAAAATGCTCAGGAAATATTTATATAACAAATAAACAATATAAGTTTCAGCCTAAAATAAAATCAGAATGATTTAAATGGCTGATGGAAACAGGAAAAAGATTCTTTCAGATGATTAAAAGAGATCAGTTTCGTTGTGGAGTCGTTAAAATTAAGAAGGCATTACTTGCCCCAGTTAACAATTGATTGCTGGTCATTTTTGAGCTCATCTGTCAATCGTGCCAGATAAACCGATTAAAATAACTGTGTCATCGGCATAGATACCAAATTGATAGCTGATTATATTAGAGAAATGCCGTTAATAAAAATTAAGAAGAATGTAAATCCAAGGATAAAATAATGGAAGAAAATCTGTATAAATCCGAAAAAATGGTCTACAAGGTTCATTTCATGATTTGATAAGAAAGATTGAATCAGATCAAACATTCGTTCAATCTTGGATGACGTAATATTTTTCAAAACCAAACAAATTACATCATACACCCCTAAAATAGATTCATATTACTGCACACCACTTCAAATGACTAAACCAATAACACCCTATGACACCAGTTGTTCTAAAAGTCACCGAATGGTGAAAAAAAGGAAGCCGTGGTTTCAATTAATTTGCACAATATATATATATATATAATTTATTTGTACGACTAGATATATGAAAGTACTTGTTATTTGTCTGCTTTGTCTTTGTGAATGAATAAACTATTTGCAAATGATAAGTATATTATTAAACACGAGAAAGTGATATTTTTGTAAGACCTATATGCGCTAACTATTTACATTATTCGGACTATTGTCCTCATCTTTGACGCCATATTTATTTCAACGTTATTTGGAATGTCGAACTGAATCCTTTATTCCGCTCACTGAGGTAGACTGTTCTAGTTCTACGTGCCATTTTCTTGGATGTCAGTTATCTCCTGTTAATTACCGTCTCTAAGTTCTCCACTGCCTTAACCGGGTATTGAACTCACACTCTTTGTCAGTGAATCTAACCAACACCTTTACCCACTGTGCCATGTGTCCATGAGGATAAATACGGCGACAAAGATGCGGTCAAGAATCCGAATAATATAAATAGTGCACATAATACATCTCAGAAATATAGACAGATACCATATGCGCAACTCAAGCCTGGAGCGACTCAAATCCACGTGCTCTCTTGGCGAGAGTTAAATGAAAAAGAGGATGATTCTAAATTTCCCGCCAGTAGGATTTTTACAAAGGAATCATGGGAAATTAGTTGTTTTTTTGTTTTGTTTTTTTCTCGTGACCGCGAGATAACTACAGGTTTATTCGGCCACTCCAAACGCTGCACGCAAAAAAACAATATTTAATGAAAGAGAACGCTACAATAATCTTTTGATATTTAATGGGTGCATAACATAAATACTATTTTTCAGTCACGTATGAGATAGCCAACTTTAAAAATCCTCTGATTGATATTGTATATTATTGCGCTTTATCCTTGCGACGTACGTTCCGGATGAACCAATGTAAGTTCTTTCATAACTTGATTTAATGCGTCAACTCACGACAAGCAGATAAGAGTCACATATATTTAATCAACGTCTATTTTGGTCGCACCATTGTCTCGAAAGACTTTATTGAAATATTTTGGAGATTTTTATATCCAATATCAGATTGCTTTGACTCTTGACACATTCTTAGTGATTTGTATATATTTTACAGTTTACTGACTGATATTTTTCTTTCTTTTCAATTGCCGATATATATAAAAACTGCCATGTGTCCTAAGAAAGGTATTAACTTCAAAAGAGAAAGATGGTTGTTACTGAGAGATCGGAACACGCGATCGGATATTGCCAAAACGTATTGAACAACGATCAAAGAACAATCCAAAAACGAAACGGAACAAAATTGGTAAGATCAGAAAAAGAAGAAAATAATTTGCCTTACGAATGACGCGAAAAGAAATTTTGAGAAAATCTGAGAGGGTAATGCGCAAGAAAAATTTAATTGACCAGCAGTCATTTTTTGAGTCGGCTAACGTAATTAATGTAACCATTTCATCATCATCTTCCTCCTTCTCTTTTTTCTCTCTTCTTCTTCCTCCCTTTCCTCCTCCTTAGTCTTCTTCTTCCTCCTACTTCTCCCTCTTCCTCCTCCCCTTCTTCTTCCTCTTCCTCCTTCTTAGTCTTCTTCTTCCTCCTACTTCTCTCTCCTCCCCTTCTTCTTCCTCTTCCTCCTCCTTCTTCTTCCTCCTTTTCCCCTCCTTCGTCTTCTTCTTCTTCCTCCTCCTCCTCCTCCTTCTTCTTCTTCCTCCTCTCCTTTTTCTTCTTCCTTCTTCTCCTCCTCCTCCTTCCATTTCTTTTTCTTCTTCTTTCTCATCCTCCTATTTCCCCTTCTTCTTCCTCCTACTTCTCCCTCTTCATCCTCCACTTCTTCCTCCTCCTCCTCCTTCTTCATCTTCCTCACTTTCCTCCTCCTTAGTCTTCTTCTTCCTCCTATTTCTCCCTCTTCCTCCTCCCCTTCTTCTCCCTCTTCCTCCTTCTTAGTCTTCCTCTTCCTCCTCCTTCTTCTTCCTCCTTTTCCCCCTCATTAGTCTTTTTCTTCCTCCTATTTCTCCCTCCTCCCCTTCTTCTTCCTCTTCCTCCTCCTTCTTCTTCCTCTTTTTCCCCCTCCTTCCATTTCTTTTTCTTCTTCTTCCTCATCCTCCCCTTTCCTCTTCTTCTTCTTCCTCCGTCTCCCCCTTGTTGTTGTTGTTCTTCTTCTTCTTCTTCTTCTTCTTCTTCTTCTTCTTCTTCTTCTTCTTCTTTGTCCCGTGTCATTTCAGGCCGTGGGAAAGCACCACTTCATATCTTTGTAACGTTTGTCTGTTTCTCCGCCCTTCACCCCCCGTTCCACTATTCATTTACCCAAGCTCGTCACGTAGGTAGCTCACTGACATACACAGTCCCGCTTGCCATTGATATACGCCGTGTGATCAAATTCTCTAAGCATTCCTCCCTCATTTTGCGTCTAAGGAATTCTAGAAGCCTCTTTCTGATTTTGAGTATGAGTGTCCTTTTTGTTTCCATTTTCTTTAAGACTTCATCGCTGCCTACTCGCTCCGTTCATGGAATTCTCTGCATCACTTGGTGGAATCACCTTTCTCTTCTATTCTCTTCATCTGTAATAAAATTGTCAAACATTTACTGGCATATAGGTGGATTGATATTATACAGCAATGAAAATAAGCAACACCTCCATTAACGACAATTTGCAATAAATTCATAAATATAAGTATGAGCTGGCCGCATAAGTAATGATTTACTTAAAGTATAAGATCAATTTCTAGTTATCAATATAGATCTACAATGTAAGTACCTGATAACTGCGTTCCAAGTTAATTCATTCATGGTAATAGACAATTGAAACGCCTTAGAAGACAATACTATGAATTAGAGCCAAACTAAGTTTATATATTATATATATATATATATATATATATATATATATATATATATATATATATATATATATATATTTAATTAATGAAAAACAGACCACTTTAAGGTACCATTACAATAATTTATTTCACCAAAATCCTTTTTAAAGGACTCCGATTCATCAGGTAACAATTCCAACAACGAAATGAAAGGAAAAATGGGATTAGAAATTGATGGCTTGTGTAATTTTTGTAATTTAACAGGGAGGGTGATAGTTTTAGTTAAATAGACAAGGTAGAGTATAGGGAGGGGTTAATTTCATATTTCTCGTAAGCATGCTTTATATTGGGATAGGAGGAGTGACCGAACCGTGACCTATTTAGATGGTTAACTTAACGGAAATGATATATAGGAATGGGAGGATATATATATAGCTGGCCACTTATATTCGAGGATACCCGTCTATTAGGGCGGCTAGTCAATCTATTATAGAAGCTTGCTCATGCGCATTTGTGTTTATTCAACACCCACTGAGCCCAGCTGTGGTTTATATTGCAACTAAGTTAATTAGACACTAGTTACAGTTTCTTGGAAACAAATCTAGCGTGATCATCAGTTTGAACGAAGCCAGCACGCTCAGACCCTCGGCCACGATGACTTATTTTCCTCATCTTTGTCGCCATGTTTATCACAACGTTTCGGCCGTTTCCTTCAAAATCAACCAAACCAAGACAAACAAAATATTTTGATTTCGTTATTAAATAACCCATATAGGTTGATATGCCGCTGAACAAAATCAACCAGACCAAACCAAAAAAAATATTTAGATTTTGGCATTAAATAACCTATAGAGGTTGATGTGCCGCTAAACAAAATAAACCAGACCAAAGCAATCAAAATATTTAGAATTCGGCATTAAATAACCCATAGAGGTTGATATGCCGCTAAACAAAATCAACCAAACCAAACGAATCAAAATATTTAGATTTCGGCATTAAATAACCCATAGAGGTGTTGATATGCCGCTAAACAAAATCAACCAAACCAGATGAATCAAAATATTTAGATTTCGGCATTAAATAACCCATAGAGGTGTTGATATGCCGCTAAACAAAATCAACCAAACCAGGTGAATCAAAATATTTAGATTTCGGCATTAAATAACCCATAGAGGTTGATATGCCGCTAAACAAAATCTACCAAACCAAACGAATCAAAATATTTAGATTTCGGCATTAAATAACCCATAGAGGTGTTGATATGCCGCTAAACAAAATCAACCAAACCAGATGAATCAAAATATTTAGATTTCGGCATTAAATAACCCCATAGAGGTGTTGATATGCCGCTAAACAAAATCAACCAAACCAGATGAATCAAAATATTTAGATTTCGGCATTAAATAACCCATAGCGGTGATATGCCGCTAAACAATATCAACCAGACCAAACCAATCAAAATATTTAGATTTCGGCATTAAATAACCCATAGAGGTGTTGATATGCCGCTAAACAAAATCAACCAAACCAGATGAATCAAAATATTTAGATTTCGGCATTAAATAACCCATAGAGGTGTTGATATGCCGCTAAACAAAATCAACCAAACCAGATGAATCAAAATATTTAGATTTCGGCATTAAATAACCCATAGAGGTTGATATGCCGCTAAACAATATCAACCAGACCAAACCAATCAAAATATTTAGATTTCGGCATTAAATAACCCATAGAGGTGTTGATATGCCGCTAAACAAAATCAACCAAACCAGATGAATCAAAATATTTAGATTTCGGCATTAAATAACCCATAGAGGTGTTGATATGCCGCTAAACAAAATCAACCAAACCAGATGAATCAAAATATTTAGATTGCGGCATTAAATAACCCATAGAGGTTGATATGCCGCTAAACAAAATCAACCAAACCAGATGAATCAAAATATTTAGATTTCGGCATTAAATAACCCATAGAGGTTGATATGCCGCTAAACAATATCAACCAGACCAAACCAATCAAAATATTTAGATTTCGGCATTAAATAACCCATAGAGGTGTTGATATGCCGCTAAACAAAATCAACCAAACCAGATGAATCAAAATATTTAGATTTCGGCATTAAATAACCCATAGAGGTGTTGATATGCCGCTAAACAATATCAACCAGACCAAACCAATCAAAATATTTAGATTTCGGCATTAAATAACCCATAGAGGTGTTGATATGCCGCTAAACAAAATCAACCAAACCAGATGAATCAAAATATTTAGATTTCGGCATTAAATAACCCATAGAGTTTGATATGCCGCTAAACAATATCAACCAGACCAAACCAATCAAAATATTTAGATTTCGGCATTAAATAACCCATAGAGGTGTTGATATGACGCTAAACAAAATCAACCAAACCAGATGAATCAAAATATTTAGATTTCGGCATTAAATAACCCATAGAGGTTGATATGCCGCTAAACAATATCAACCAGACCAAACCAATCAAAATATTTAGATTCCGGCATTAAATAACCCATAGAGGTGTTGATATGCCGCTAAACAAAATCAACCAAACCAGATGAATCAAAATATTTAGATTTCGGCATTAAATAACCCATAGAGGTGTTGATATGCCGCTAAACAAAATCAACCAAACCAGATGAATCAAAATATTTAGATTTCGGCATTAAATAACCCATAGAGGTTGATATGCCGCTAAACAAAATCTACCAAACCAAACGAATCAAAATATTTAGATTTCGGCATTAAATAACCCATAGAGGTGTTGATATGCCGCTAAACAAAATCAACCAAACCAGATGAATCAAAATATTTAGATTTCGGCATTAAATAACCCATAGAGGTGTTGATATGCCGCTAAACAAAATCAACCAAACCAGATGAATCAAAATATTTAGATTTCGGCATTAAATAACGCATAGCGGTTGATATGCCGCTAAACAATATCAACCAGACCAAATGAATCAAAATATTTAGATTTCGGCATTAAATAACCCATAGAGGTGTTGATATGCCGCTAAACAAAAATCAACCAAACCAGATGAATCAAAATATTTAGATTTCGGCATTAAATAACCCATAGAGGTGTTGATATGCCGCTAAACAATATCAACCAAACCAGATGAATCAAAATATTTAGATTTCGGCATTAAATAACCCATAGAGGTTTGATATGCCGCTAAACAAATCAACCAGACCAAATGAATCAAAATATTTAAATTTCGGCATTAAATAACCCATAGAGGTGTTGATATGCCGCTAAACAAAATCAACCAAACCAGATGAATCAAAATATTTAAATTTCGGCATTAAATAACCCATAGAGGTGTTGATATGCCGCTAAACAAAAATCAACCAAACCAGATGAATCAAAATATTTAGATTTCGGCATTAAATAACCCATAGAGGTGTTGATATGCCGCTAAACAAAATCAACCAAACCAGATGAATCAAAATATTTAGATTTCGGCATTAAATAACCCATAGAGGTGTTGATAATGACCAAACCAATCAAAATATTTAGATTTCTTAAACAAAATCAACAAAATCAAACCAGATGAATCAAAATATTTAGATTTCGGCATTAAATAACCCATAGAGGTTGATATGCCGCTAAACAATATCAACCAGACCAAACCAATCAAAATATTTAGATTTCGGCATTAAATAACCCATAGAGGTGTTGATATGCCGCTAAACAAAATCAACCAAACCAGATGAATCAAAATATTTAGATTTCGGCATTAAATAACCCATAGAGGTTGATATGCCGCTAAACAAAATCAACCAGACCAAACCAATCAAAATATTTAGATTTCGGCATTAAATAACCCATAGAGGTGTTGATATGCCGCTAAACAAAATCAACCAAACCAGATGAATCAAAATATTTAGATTTCGGCATTAAATAACCCATAGAGGTTGATATGCCGCTAAACAATATCAACCAGACCAAACCAATCAAAATATTTAGATTTCGGCATTAAATAACCCATAGAGGTGTTGATATGCCGCTAAACAAAATCAACCAAACCAGATGAATCAAAATATTTAGATTTCGGCATTAAATAACCCATAGAGGTTGATATGCCGCTAAACAATATCAACCAGACCAAACCAATCAAAATATTTAGATTTCGGCATTAAATAACCCATAGAGGTGTTGATATGCCGCTAAACAAAATCAACCAAACCAGATGAATCAAAATATTTAGATTTCGGCATTAAATAACCCATAGAGGTTGATATGCCGCTAAACAATATCAACCAGACCAAACCAATCAAAATATTTAGATTTCGGCATTAAATAACCCATAGAGGTGTTGATATGCCGCTAAACAAAATCAACCAAACCAGATGAATCAAAATATTTAGATTTC